TGTGGATCGTATAGAAATGCACTGCAGCTATAATAGTCCTCCCTATGCGAATGATATTGCTTTGTTGCATTTGAATGACAGCATTGTGTTCGATAATCATACCCAGGCGGTGGAATATGATCATGAACCCTTAAAGGAAGACGATGAATTGGTGTTAACCGGTTGGGGTACTCTATCGTTGGGTGGTGAAGTTCCTACTAAATTACAAACTTTAAAAGTTAAATATGTTCCATTTAATGAGTGTCGTGCTGCTCATGATAATACCACTTGGGTAGATGTGGGTCATTTGTGTACCTTTAATGACAAGGGTAAGGGTGCTTGTCACGGTGACAGTGGTGGTCCTTTGGTTCATAATGGCAAATTGGTGGCTTTAGTGAATTGGGGCCGCCCTTGTGCTAAGGGTTTGCCAGATGCTCATGCTAGAATTTCCTATTATCATGATTTCATACGTACTCACCTGAAGGCCTGTGGTAAGGAAGAGGAGGAAGAGAAGGAGGAGGAAAAGGAGGGTGAAAAGGAAGGTGAAAAAGAGGGAGAAAAGCAGCCTGAAAAGGAGAAAGAGAAAGAATAAATAATTATTCCTTTTAGGTATTAATGCTTAAGTCTAAGTTGAAATAAAAGTTAACAAAAGATTTGAATTAAAATATTAGTTTTTAGTTTATTTTATGCAACAAAAAAAGTCGGTTTTCGGACCAAACTGCTTTTCAGGGGCAGGACTAATAAGCGAAATTTGGTTGCAAATTATAAAAAGAGCATTCGAGATTTTTTAAAATCTCAAATACAAAATTTTGAAAGGATAAAATTATCGGAACCAAATTTTGGATATACACAGATCCAAATCTTTCTAAAATAACACCGTTACCAGTATTCTCATTTTCTATATAAAATTACCGAAATTCCTAAAGCGGAAAAAATGTCTTCTAAAAAATTAGTTTTTCGATAAAAGTGCCAACTGTGACGTTATTAACAGTGTGATAGTAAAATGACTTCGGATATAATTAAGGACTATATAGGTCCATATAAATATAGAGCTATTATGTGGATCGTTGCTTTGCATTTTAAGATTTTATCCTTCAAATTTGCCAAAGTTTGGATGGGGCTGGTGGGGGCTTTGTCTGCTTAGATGAGTAAAATTTTATTTAACACGCTTACGCATTAAGTTCTCTTTCTGAATCATATACATTTTTTATATAGTCCTGAAGAATATTGGAACTTTTTGGGGAAAAAATCTAAAAAATACGGCAAAATTTAAGAATACCAAATATTAAACGTAAATAACTCTTAAAGCAAAAGAGATAACCAACACATATAAACCAGTTTTTGTAGACCTTTTCAAGGAGTTATTATGTTTTACATTTCATCTCATTCAGATCATAAATGTATTTTTGGAAATTTTTTAAAAAATACCCGAGGTGACCAACATTGAGGCCCCCATCACCTACAAGTGTCGGTAAACTTCATAATATCTCATCTCTACACATGTGAAATTTCGTTGTGATAATTCAATAGTTGAAGAGATAACGAATTATTTTCAAAAATAAAAGTTTCTAAGCCCCATATAATCAATTCTCTAACAAATACATTCAAAAAATCAATAAAAATTTCAAATCAAAAACGAGAACATGTTTATCAACAACCAGTATATTTTTTATACAAAAATATTGTGCAAAAATAATTTCAAAAATCATATTTCTAATACATAGTAAAATAAATTCTATGCAGTTATCAAAATTTAAATGCAGGTGGACTAATAAATAATATGTCTGCATATATGCATATCAATAATCTGTTAAATCAATTTGCCCAGGGAATTTCATGAATGAAAATCTAAACAATATTAATTTATTATCTTATTTTGTACATTATTTTTTTATCAAATCTCTATATAAAATGTTTTTTGTTTAAATCATAATCTTTATGACTTTTAAAATTAAATGATTATAATGGCGAAAAAAATCTCTACTCATGGAAAATAAGCAAAAATTATGGCTTGTTGGTTTAGTGAAAGTAAAAAAAAAAAAATAAGAAATTGATAAAACTATAGACGACTTGAGGAGACCTTTGAAATTTTCTAAAGAAAACTATTAACAAAAAAACTTTGTACTTTTATTTTGCATTTGGCTTAAGCGTGTTAGTTTTTGAAAAACAAGTGAAATAAGAAGTAATTAGGAATTTTCTAGTTTAAGGCAATTACTTGATCAAATTAAAGAAATCTTACAGGAATTGGCCACTATTGAGATCTATTAAACTATGAGGCCGTTCTCCCGAAATTTTATATTCTGTGCAACTAAACTACAAGGAATATGAAAATGTTTAAATTTGGAAAAGGGGAATATTTTGACTGATGCCTCATCATGTCAGGGAAACTGTATGGTGAGTCTCGAGCCCTTTTCTAATGAAAATAATTTCTTAGTTGGTATTGTTAAAAAAAAATCAAATAATTTTAACCCATAAATGTTTGAAGATCAAAGTCAAATTAAGCGGTATTGGGAAACTTTCTTGAAACCGTAGTTTTCGACCGATTCCTATGAAACTTGAGAAAAATATATAGTAAGTATAGCAAAAATAAAAAAAAAAATCAAAATATATTTTTATAGTTATACTAACTATACCCACTGTGCTTTGTTACCATAAAATCAATATACGTATATATAAATAAAAACTGACTCTAGGATTTTTTAAGTTTCTAGCTCTAACAGTTTTCCAGATATACGAATTTTTGTACTTAATTAGTTAGGAGGTGCCAATCCTCCCTAATGACAGGCCGCACATTATGTCAGAGTTTTTCGTGCAAAATTTAAGGATTCTAGCTCTAACAGTTTCCCAGATATACGAGAATTTTTGTACTTAATTAGTTAGGAGGTGCCAATCCTCCCTAATGACAGGCCGCACATTTTTTCCCAAATGTTCATATGGAAAGTACCACGCCCCTAAAATCAAGCCAACCAATGTATAACCCAAATGTTCATAAGACATCAAAGTATTTCGACCAAAATTGTAGAATTTTAGCTGTAATAGTTTTTCAGATAAACGAATTTTAATATTTAATTCCTATAGGAGGTATCACTCCCTCTATTGGTAGTGGCACGCCCACTATAGGTAGGGTGCCCATTTTGCCAACTTTTGTTCATATGGATGTCGAAGCTGATCATACAAAATTTAGTTAGTTAGTAAGATAGTTAGTTAGTTGGTTAGTTAGTTAGTTAGTTAGTTAGTTAGTTAGTTAGTTAGTTAGTTAGTTAGTTAGTTAGTTAGTTAGTTAGTTAGTTAGTTAGTTAGTTAGTTAGTTAGTTAGTTAGTTAGTTAGTTAGTTAGTTAGTTAGTTAGTTAGTTAGTTAGTTAGTTAGTTAGTTAGTTAGTTAGTTAGTTAGTTAGTTAGTTAGTTAGTTAGTTAGTAGTTAGTAGTTAGTTAGTTAGTTAGTTAGTTAGTTAGTTAGTTAGTTAGTTAGTTAGTTAGTTAGTTAGTTAGTTAGTTAGTTAGTTAGTTAGTTAGTTAGTTAGTTAGTTAGTTAGTTAGTAGTTAGTTAGTTAGTTAGTTAGTTAGTTAGTTAGTTAGTTAGTTAGTTAGTTAGTTAGTTAGTTAGTTAGTTAGTTAGTTAGTTAGTTAGTTAGTTAGTTAGTTAGTTAGTTAGTTAGTAGTTAGTTAGTTAGTTAGTTAGTTAGTTAGTTAGTTAGTTAGTTAGTTAGTTAGTTAGTTAGTTAGTTAGTTAGTTAGTTAGTTAGTTAGTTAGTTAGTTAGTTAGTTAGTTAGTTAGTTAGTTAGTTAGTTAGTTAGTTAGTTAGTTAGTTAGTTAGTTAGTTAGTTAGTTAGTTAGTTAGTTAGTTAGTTAGTTAGTTAGTTAGTTAGTTAGTTAGTTAGTTAGTTAGTTAGTTAGTTAGTTAGTTAGTTAGTAGTTAAACTTAATCGTATCCAGAATCGAGATGCCACAGATGCATAATTATGATTAGATTATGAAAAGGAATTCTTAGAAGCGTATGAATCAAAATTAACCGACCTTTGTAGGCAGATCAGTGATCTATTATTAAACGAACAGTTTTTAGGAGAATACAACGTCCACAAACATGATGTTTTTAGGAAGAAGAAATCTTCATACCGTATGGATCAAATCCCAGGGAGCTTTATTGATTAGAAGTGAAAGACTCTTGTGATCTGCTTAGTGATCTTTTTATGGCTTCAAATCAAATTCAAAAGTCATTAAAATAAATGTCCTAAAAATTATTTTCATCCAACTAAAATCAATAGCAAATCTACTCCTACCCTAACCACAGACATTAATAATATCATTAAATAAAATCTATTGGTTTCTAGGTCTTAATTTAGATCCATAATTATAAATGTCTAGACGCTGCCATAAGATTAAGAAATCTAATTCAATACTTATTATTATTTAATTAAAAATTATTATTTATAACATTAACGTGACAATTGCAAAGTATGACCAAATTTTTGCTTGGACTTTAAACAGTCTGCCCATAACACACGCATTGTTTGGTTTCCCCCTAGATTACTTAATAATAGTACGACTAGTGTATTAATCATAATCTTTAATTCTAAAAAAATGACTAATTTATTGTTGTCTTTTCAATAACAAACATTTTGCAAAAATAAGAAATATAAATTAGTAAACATTTCATTAGAACTTAAAACAAACCAACAACAACTGTTAAAGAAATATTATCTAATCACAATACTTTAAACTACTTTGGAAGTTTTCACTAGACTAAACGACCGTAGAGTTCTAAACAATACTCGGTATTAAAAATTCTGTGAAAAATTATCAGAAAATTGCTACCGCATGCTGACTTTTAGCAGCTACCGTTTGTAATGTATTGGTATTAGTTGGTATTATTCGGGAAAAAAATAACTGATTAACGGTTCTTTTTTTTACGATCTACTTTATCATTAGTTCGGGGTTTATCAATAATTTCGGTAGCCCATTTAAGTAGTGAGAAATTTTGAAAGAGTCTATAAAAGTAAAAGTTTTTAAAGAATCAATAAACATTTTGCAAGAAAACCTTCAAGTGAAAAGTAATTTAGATTGAAATTAACCAAAAATAATTAACTAGAACACAAGTGTATCAAACAGAATTAAAATAATCAAAATGAAAGTGTTTATTACTATTTTATTGAGTTGTGCGGCTATATTGAGCTGTGAAGGCCGCGGTATACCACAAGAACAATTGCAAAAACTGCAACGCCAATTAATAGAGACACGTATTATTGGCGGCTCTGAGGCTACAGAGGGTTTATTGCCCTATCAAGTTTCCATACAAAATACTTTTGGTGAACATGTTTGTGGTGGCGCTATTATTGCCCCAGAATGGATTCTAACTGCTGCTCACTGTTCGGAATGGCCTAAACAATATTTGAAAGTGGTTACCGGTACCGTTAATTGGACTAAACCCGATGCTGAATATTTGGTAGAAGATATGAAGGTACATTGTTTGCACGATAAGCCTATGTATCACAATGATATTGCCTTGGTGCGCTTAAACAAACCTATTGTCTATAATGAACTAACTCAACCCATTAAACTGGCTACCAGCAATACTCTGAAAGAAGGCGATAAACTTACCCTCTCTGGTTGGGGCAGCATTAAAGTATGGGGCCGTACTCCTGATATTTTACATACCGTACAATTAAGTTTTATGGAACATGATAAATGTTCAAAGAATGTTAAGAAATCCGACTGGTTGGGTGAGGGTCATATTTGTACGGATACCTCTTCGGGTCAGGGATCATGTCATGGTGACTCTGGTGGCCCTTTAGTAGATGAAAATAATGTCTTGGTTGGTGTTGTCAATTGGGGTGAACCCTGTGCTGTGGGCAGACCCGATGTCTTTGCCAGTGTGGCCTATTATCATGATTGGATTCGTGGTATATTGGCTGGTGGTGATGCTTGTTAGGAGGAGTATTTTATTTAAAAGGAGAATTTGAATTTAAACTATAAAGCCAAAGCGAACAAATTTTTAGTTTTAAGTTTTCTATAAAATTTTTATATACAAAGAACAAATTTTTATTACAAAAATAATTATAATAAATATGTTTAAGAATAATTATAAAACTGTACATAAGATTTTTTATTTTTGATTTGACCAGTTTATTTGATCGAAACCCCAATATTTCGGCTTGTATCGTTTTTGAAACGATGTAGTTGTATTCGATACATACATTTCCATAGTGTTAGTATGGAAGTAGTGTTAGTGCTATATTTAAGGAAGTTATATAGTACTAAAAATTGATTTTTGAATGTTCTTAAATATTAGAGTTGTATTAGAGTAATTCTTGATAAAGTTTAAAAATCGAGCTCTAATCATGATTTATAATTACGAATTAAAAACAACATATTCTCAAAGATCTAAATTTGGACCTGGAAATTATTTATTTTGGTTATTTGATCGCCAACGAAAGAGAGCGAAAATGTTTATCTTTGAAAGAAGGGTCTTCTACTTTAAGCTTATCAATTTCTGATTTTAAGACGTTTAATTTGTTTGGATATCAACAAATAGTCGTTAGGGTATTATGCATTTGTCCTGATGTTTGTAACACTCAAAAATATTGGTCCTAGCTAGACTCACCTTAAATTAATCGGCTTGGAACCATTTTCCGTCTGTCCATCTGTCTGTCCTTCTGTGATAATTTGAACGTACACTTCCCTTGATGAAGGACGAAGCCAACTGAAGATGGTTTGAATTGGTCCAATATTTCACCTAGAACCCATACAACCGTACCCCCCAAATAGGCCTTTTGAGCTCATACTTATATTAAATATTCTATCAGCACAACTGAATTTTACACAAGTCTAAGTGATACTGTCGATTTCCGTTATGATCGGACCGTATTTTTCCCTTCATAAAATCACTTATAACTAGTATAACGATGAAATTTTTCATATATAACTATAATGTAAACGTTAATCCCTCTACAAAAATTTATAAAGGTAGGCCCATATTTATCTTTGAACCCTCCTTCAGAAAATCACTTTTTTATTAACAACATGAAAAAATATTTATAGTCGGGGCAATAATGCCCATTCTAAAAATCTATCAGACGTTACAGCCTTGAAAATCACATTCCTGACGAAAAACATCTTGGGGATCTAATACCCCTGAAAGGGGTCAATAAACGGATCAAGTACAGTGTTATAAAGACTAGAATCTTTAAAGTTCTAAGGAATCCATTATAGACAGTACATCTCTTAAAAAACTACTAATTTAAGATTTTATTAAAAGGGCCCGTTGTAGATTATAGCGAACTATTAATACCAGACTTCGATGTTACTATTAAGTAGTAGGAAGATCTTTACTTATTTTGTCATTCATTAGAGATCTGATATGATGTTTACGATAGTGATCAGCGAATGGATCAAGCTCGTTGATATGAAGATTGGAATCTTTTAGCTGTGCTTTATCATCATATGAAGGTTCGTCATAGACTGAAATTTTAACAAAAGTATTTTTTGATATTACCCTAATAAATTTAGTTACTCTATAAAATCTACTCGATTAAATTTTTCTGGTTAAAAATCACACAAAATAAATAATATCTTACAATAAAATTCATATCAATTTACTTTCTTAATTAATTAAATTCAAATATTTACATAACTGTAATAAAACCACCAACAACAATTTTTCATAAGAAAATTTTTATTATCTAAAATTAACAAATTAACTATTCAGCATAAACTTCCATTAATCCCTATCTCAAGGCACCAACGAACAACCCTTAATACTAGTTCTTATCCAATCGTTGTAAAATGACACCTTGGCGAAAACATCGGGAAAACCATGAGCACAGGGAACACCCCAATTACCAATACCTACTAATTGGCCTTTAGAATTAACCAAAGGACCACCAGTATCACCATGACAAGCACCATTACCACTTTTAGGTAAAATACACAAATGACCATCGTCAACATCATCGGCATATTGGTTATACATACTCTTACATCGGTCATTACTTATCAGCATAGCATCCAATTTCTTTAATTCTTCCGGATAATATTGACCCAACTCCCAACTACCCCAGCCAGTCATGGTTAAAGTTTCACCCTCCTGCAGCTCATCCAATTCCGCTAAAGTAATATTTTTAGTCTTATCATCGTAGGCAAATAGAGTGGTTGTTTTTATAAGAGCGATATCATTGTGATACAAAGGCTTATCAAAATTACAGTGTACAATAATGTCCTCTACATAGTATTCCCAAGCTAAACCCATCCAATCATTGGTGCTGGTTACCACCTTAATAAAACGTTTATCCAAACCAGCTACACAGCTAGCAGCGGTAAGCACATATTGATCAGCTATTATAGCGCCTCCACAAAAGTGATTGCCGTATTTATTTTGCAAGAACACCTGCCAAGGAGCATAGGCTTCGGGTGCTATTTCTCCTCCCACTATACGTGACTGAGGTTTTTGATATGTTTTAGTAACTGGTACCTTGGTGTCCACATTTTTTATACCCGGATAGGCTTCATCTCTCAAACGCAAAGCCTGGCTAAATTGTAAAGCACCCAGGCATAAAACGACCAAAATTAAAGACTTCATTATTGTTAGCTCTTCTCTGTTAGACTGTTCGTACTATTGTCGAAATAAAAGGTTTTTACTTTGGTTTTTTAAAATTTCAATATCTTTCACTGGATATCGACAGACTTTATTTATGGTATGTGATTCAAAATTTTATCGTATCAATAAAAGCAAGTTTATGCCTCTTAAGCGTTTCATTCAATAAATTTACTGCTAAATAATGCCCCGTTTTGATAATGACTTCGATAAGTTATTAATTGTCTTTGCCGTTTTATTTTTCGTACTTTATTATAGTGCAATCCTTTAGTAGTAAAAAAGGTACCCATACGGTTAGGGTCGTAGTACTTTGAAAGTCGTATTAAAATCTAGTGGCGCAACTATACAGTTTGATTAGTTGCTATGAGTATATAGTCTATAGTCTAGTCTATAGACTAGTCTATAGTCTAGTCTATAGTCTAGTCTATAGTCTAGTCTATAGTCTAGTCTATAGTCTAGTCTATAGTCTAGTCTATAGTCTAGTCTATAGTCTAGTCTATAGTCTAGTCTATAGTACTAGTCTATAGTCTAGTCTATAGTCTAGTCTATAGTCTAGTCTATAGTCTAGTCTATAGTCTAGTCTATAGTCCTAGGTCTATAGTCTAGTCTATAGTCTAGTCTATAGTCTAGTCTATAGTCTAGTCTATAGTCTAGTCTATTCTAGTCTATAGTCTAGTCTATAGTCTAGTCTATAGTCTAGTCTATAGTCTAGTCTATAGTCTAGTCTATAGTCTAGTCTATAGTCTAGTCTATAGTCTAGTCTATAGTCTAGTCTATAGTCTAGTCTATAGTCTAGTCTATAGTCCTAGTCTATAGTCTATCATAGTCTAGTCTATAGTCTAGTCTATAGTCTAGTCTATAGTCTAGTCTATAGTCTAGTCTATAGTCTAGTCTATAGTCTAGTCTATAGTCTAGTCTATAGTCTAGTCTATAGTCTAGTCTATAGTCTAGTCTATAGTCTAAGTCTATAGTCTAGTCTATAGTCCTAGTCTATAGTCTTAGTCTATCGTCTAGTCTATTAGTTTTCCTTAAGGGGGGGGTCTATAGTCTAGTCTATAGTCTAGTCTATAGTCTAGTCTATAGTCTAGTCTATAGTTCTAGTCTATAGTCTAGTCTATAGTCTAGTCTATAGTTCTAGTCTATAGTCTTAGTCTATAGTTCTTAGTCTATAGTCTAGTCTATTAGTCTAGTTCTATTATAGTCTCAGTCTATACGTCTAGGTCATATAGTCTAGTCTCTAGTTCTAGTCTATTAGTTAGTCTATAGTCTAGTCTTATAGGTTCTAGTCTATAGTCTAGTCTATAGTCTAGTCTAATTCTAGTCTAGCTATAGTCTAGTCTTAGTATAGGTCTTCGGTCTATAGTCTAGTCTCTAGTCTAGTCTATAGTCTAGGTCTATAGTCTAGTCTATCAGTCTAGTCTATAGTCTAGTCCTATAGTCTAGTCTATAGTCTGTCTATAGTCTAGTCTATAGTCTAGTCTATAGTCTAAGTCTATTAGTCTAGTCTATATGTCTGTCTATGTCTAGTCATAGTCTAGTCTATAGTCTAGTCTTCTATAGGTCTAGTCTATAGTCTCGTCTAGTTAGTCTAGTCTATAGTCTAGTCTATAGTCTAGTCTATAGTCTAGTCTATAGTCTAGTCTATAGTCTAGTCTATAGTCTAGTCTATAGTCTAGTCTATAGTCTAGTCTATAGTCTAGTCTATAGTCTAGTCTATAGTCTAGTCTATAGTCTAGTCTATAGACTAGTCTATAGTCTAGTCTATAGTCTAGTCTATAGTCTAGTCTATAGTATAGTCTATAGTCTATTCTATATTCTAGTCTATATTCTAGTCTATAGTCTAGTCTATAGTCTAGTCTATAGTCTAGTCTATAGTCTAGTCTATAGTCTAGTCCATAGTCTAGTCTATAGTCTAGTCTATAGTCTAGTCTATAGTCTAGTCTATAGTCTAGTCTATAGTCTAGTCTATAGTCTAGTCTATAGTCTATTCTATAGTCTAGTCTATAGTCTAGTCTATAGTCTAGTCTATAGTCTAGTCTATAGTCTAGTCTATAGTCTAGTCTATAGTCTAGTCTATAGTCTAGTCTATAGTCTAGTCTATAGTCTAGTCTATAGTCTAGTCTATAGTCTAGTCTATAGTCTAGTCTATAGTCTAGTCTATAGTCTAGTCTATAGTCTAGTCTATAGTCTAGTCTATAGTCTAGTCTATAGTCTAGTCTATAGTCTAGTCTATAGTCTAGTCTATAGTCTAGTCTATAGTCTAGTCTATAGTCTAGTCTAGTCTAGTCTATAGTCTATATAGTCTAGTCTATAGTCTATTCTATAGTCTAGTCTATAGTCTAGTCTATAGTCTA